GCGCGGTTGTCATGCCCAATGGGAGTTACAAAATTTGGGAACGAAAGGAATGCAAAATTAATATGCGAAAGGGACAACTGAAATAAGTATGAAACATAAAAGCAAGCATTGTTCCAGTATTGTTACATCATAAAAGCAAGCATTTGTTGCATCAAGTGCGGGCAAAGATTGAACTCAATTTAAGCGAGCAGACTCAAAGTTATTTCAGGTGAGTTCACCTGAAATATTTTGGACAAAAGATCACGCGTGGGTCAGGCCCAATGCGGGGGAGAAAACTGGAAGCGAAAGTAATGCCCAATCAATTAGGATAATAATAACTATACTCCTTAATAATTGATGAATCAATAAAAGATAAGGAATGCCTGTTGCACTACCTAGAAGGCCGAGCATCATCTACGGATCCGGGGCCTCTGCCTTGCTTTAAAGTAAAGTAGGGTACCCGGCTTTTCCGGGCCGTTTGATCGGAGATTGGACGGTCGAAGATCTTGGGCTCCACTCCTTTCCCGATCTCGAGGCCATCCTCTTCCCCTCCTTGCCGTCGAATGCCGCAAGGCACTCTGCCTTATGGCAGAGGATCCGAATCCATCATCTAGTACCTCAAGACCTCCTCCAACTCTTCTCAATTCTTCCCTCAGGAGAGTAGAAACTCCTAAAGCTATTCTTCCTGGATAAAGAAGAATCAGCAACTTCGTTGACCTATAAAGACCCCAGCTTTTGGTCAATCTCCTTCCAGCCCTACCCCTTCTCCTTTAACACCTCTTCCCTGGGCCTAGCTTCCCCGAAAAGATTAGACCCGCCCTTGGGTTTTGTTGAAGTAGCATTCCCATTCCCTCCTCTACTTTCTTTCCCCAATGATCTGAATCGTTATCATTAGCACCACGACTTCTATCTCTTAAACTATCAAATGCAAAAAAGATCCATAATCAATTGACATGTATCCTTAGCAACAAAATATACAAAATTCCAAACCTGATTCTTATTTTCATCGTTTTTGAATGCCAGTGTCGTCAAGACGCCTGCAGCTGCTCTTTGCACAGTTGGATAAAAAAACTCGAGCAATTCAACAAGAGGTGGGTTGTCGCCTTCTACCCTGGATATAGAAGGTCTCATAAAGATTACTGGCAAGAATAATAAGTTGTTTAAAAAAGCTTTTTAAAAATGATTTTAAGGCTGCGTAAAAACACACAATGTTGGGAAAAAAACTCAATTAAGGCAATAAAGATAAAGACCCGCATAATTAAAAGGACGTAAAAGCTCAAGAAAAAGTTGAACACATAGATGAACACGTAAAGGCGCACATCATTACATATTGGGAAACAATCATTGATAAAAAATGAAAAAAACTTATTAATAATCAACAATACAAGGAAGGTACACAATAAACATGAAGATATAATTTTGTATTGCACTAAAACCAGTTAGAAGACATAAAACCTCACAAACCCACCAAAATATAGGCAAGGGGAATCAAAAGAAACAATGATTAAAAAAGTTATTCTTACGGGAAACTGTCAAATAGTTCCACCTACTTTTATGAAAAAATCAATTGAGTCCATGTACATTTGTTTAAGTCAATCAAGTCCGTTAACTATAAAAAACGATGGACATCCATCTGGCATTTTGTTTAATGTTCTCCTATTTTTTCTTTTTCTTTTTCCTCTTTCTTCTTTCTTCAGTCCGCTCCTCTTCTGCTTCTGCACTCCATCTCGGCATCTCCCCTTTGAATTGAACTCCTCTTCCTTCCCTGTGTCTATACTACAGATCTATGGGATGGAGGTGGCGGCTATGGAGACCAAGTGGTTGGAGGTCATTCCATGGAAGAGATGGAGTTGGAGACCGGGTAGGTGGTTGGAGGTCGTTCCATGGAAGAGGCGGAATTGGAGACTGTGGAGATGGAATCCAGAGGCCGCGAGCACGGTGGTAAGGGAAACATACGGCTATGGAATCCAGCACGGATGGAGGTTGCTTCAATGGAGGAGGCGAAGGGGAATGCCACATAGGTAATGACACGAATGTGATTCATGTCATAGATTATATTTAAAAACTGATTATATAGAATAGAATTGTTTTGGTTTCCCTTCTTAAAAAAAATAGAACCTTGTATGGGTGGGCGCCTACAACATTGCAAATGGAGATATAGTCAATTGTGCATTTTGTACCTAGGGATGTAAAAAAAACCCGACCCGCAGTGCCCGCCCTGGCCCGAGACATTCCCGTCTTTCAAATGGGGCGGGTCCACCCCGCCCTGCCTATACAATGGGGCGGGTCCGGGAATTAGTATTGACCCATGCCGCCCTGACCCGCTCAATACATAAGCATACATACTTTTTCTTAAATTATACTACAAATATACTTAAACATAGAAATGTGTGTATACAGTAATACATATATTAGAATGAGATGAACAACAGATTATCAATGTCTTCTTTATATATAACATTTTAATACATATGTTCAATTATTAGTATAATTAAATAGATTAACTATTCAAGTCTCTGTAATTTTTCCTTAATTTTTGAAATTTTTAGGGTATCATGAATTTGATTTAATGTATTAATTTTTAATTATTATTCAGAGATAAACTTTATGCAGGTTTAATTGGTAACAACTTTCACAAATAAAAATACATACTAGCTAATTAGGTTACGGCGGGGCGGGGCGGGGCGGACCCACCCCGCATCGGGCGGGTCATGGGTCAACAAGTTTGGACCCATGCAGGTCACGGGGCGGGGCGGACCCGCCCCGCCAAGTCACGGGGCGGGTCTGGGACTTGGAGTACCCGCCCCGCTCCATTGCCATGAATTAAAACTAATGCAAAATGTTACTTCAGGTATCTAATGTGAAGAACAGAATTAAAACTTATCCCAACAACAATAAGAAACAACAAATGTTAGTAATAAAAAGGAGGTACAATACTTCTATAGTGGAAGAGATAGAGGACGATGGCAATGACCACGTCTTCAATATCAGTAGATGATGGGCCTCAATAGTTGCTTCAACCCTAGTTGCCAACATTTAAAGTTGCCAAAGAAACTTTAAATCCATAGAAATGAAGTGCCCTCTTCTTCATTTGTTGCCAATATCAGTAGATGATGGGCCTCAATAGTTGCCCCGACCCTAGTTGCCAACATTTAAAGTTGCCAAAGAAACTTTAAATCCATAGAAATGAAGCGCCCTCTTCTCACGGTCCTCAATATCAGGTTCTCTTTAGAGATGGCAATTTCGGCCGACCCATTGGATACCCGCACCGATTCAATTTGGTCAAACTGGGGAAAACCGATTTGACTGGGGAATGGGTACGGGGCGGGGAATACCCGATTTTTTAAATGGTTAATGGTGCGGTTATGGTTCTATACTAATCCGCCCTGTTATCCGCCCCGAAACCGCCCCGTTCGCTAATGGTGCGGGTACCCGCACCGTTACCCGATCCATAACATTATTAATGAATTATAACTTTATATATATAAGAATAATAAGTATCTATGCTAAATTGTGTACACTAAATAGTATATATCATATAAATAATGCTAAAAAGTATACTACGTTTTTAGGCCTAAAACTAAATATAGGCCTAAACCTGTTTTTGGAATTTGGATTCTGGGATGAATACTACTTTTTTATTATGTTACAAGAGTTTAGGGGCATGTCATACTAATGAGTTTAGGCTAGTCTGCTTGATTGCTTAATGGTTTGCTTTTGTATGTTTTAGGGTGCTTTGAATATATAAATAACAAGTAAGATTAAAAATTGGTTATTTGTTTTCCAAAAAAACGGTTATTTGGTATCATTTGGGGAAACGGTTACCCGTGGATAAACCGATTCCCCGTTGGGGCGGGTACGGTTCAAATAAAAATTACCCGAACGGGTAATGGGACGGTTTTGGGGCAAACATTTATCCAACGGAGCGGTTTCTGTTTTATGTGTACCTGTCCCCGATCCGCCCCGTTGCCATCACTAGTTCTCTTTTGTTGCCAATAGTTGCTTCAACCCTAGCTGCTTTTCCTTCTTACCATAGAAATGAAACGAAATAGAAAGCAAAGAAAACAAAAGAGAAGAAAGAAATTTCAGCTAAAGTTACCAGGGTGAGAGGCAGTTAACATCAGGCCAAATTTAATTTGGACGGTTACTGTCATTGGACTGCCGCTTTATTCTCCGCAACAAACCATGGGGGTCCTCCAATGACCCGGCCCCGTAGCTCTCTTCACACATTTAAAGTTTTGTAGTTTCTTTTTTTCCTTCTTCGGGTCCAGTTTTTAAATCCCAAATACCCGGCACACTTTGTAATTGCCGTTATCATTTCAATAAAAATAATATTACATTGACAAAAAAAATACCAGCGTGAGAGGCGATCTATGGCTCTGGGAGCAGTTTGATACTTTGTGGACGTTGAGGGACTTGGCGGCAAACTACTCCATCACACCCCTAACTCGCTCCTAAATTTCTAGAGAGTAAATTGAAGACCATTTATCATTCACACAACACTACTAAACTAAATGAAATAATCACTTTCAAGAATGGTGTACCCATCATCAATTGTTATCAATATGCATAGCTGCGTTCCTCACCTAGAGACAAAGCACTAACAAGTAGGCACTACCTAAAAAACGTCAAAATACTAACCACTATCGATTTTGATTTCATTTTGCATTGAAGTGCCCTCTTCTTCATTTTAAGGATGTTTTTACTTGGACTGTAATTTGTTGGTCTGGTCTGGTCTGGTCTGAACTGGTCTGGTAAGGTCTGGTTTCTTTGTATTTTTATAACTATCCAAGTCTCTTTTCCTCTGCATTTCTTCCATCTTGTTTTTTGTTTTCTTTGGCCGTTAGTGTTTTGTTAGGGCATCCACATTCATGGATTATTTTAGGATCATTTTGATGATGTGGAAGATTTTTTTTTGGATCATGGATGAGGAGTTCAGATTATTTTATGAGATTATTTGATAAAATAATCTGGTATCAAATTCTAAAGCTGGATTATTTTGAGATTATTTCCAACTTCTAGGCATATACTCATAATTATGGTAATGACTAGCTTGGTAGTTCGTGCATGCTCACGCTCCTATCCAAGATAAATTAAGATCATGAATGAGGAGAAATTTATTGATTTGGAGATTATTTGAGATTATCTTATGTGGAGGTGACATGACAATAATAAGCCATGAAAAACCGTAAAGTTGAAGATCATCAATATGGATGCTCTTATGTTTTGATCAAGTGGTCAACTTTTGTAGTGTCATATTGGTAGTCTGGATGTATTCATTAATTTGGAAAATATTATCAATTGACAATGAAATAATAAAAGTGTCATATTGGAAAATATGGGAGAGGAGTTTTGGGGCTGCTAACTGCTAAGTAAAACTATAGAGTATTTCCCATTAAACTAAATAAATCTTATTTAGATATGTGGTAGTTGTGTAGGCCACCATGCTTCCTTGGTTGCCACCTATTCAAACTCACTTGGAAACACGTTGATTACCAACTATACAATGGCAATGTCAACATTACAAAAGTGACATTGTGATAATAACAATGTCTAAACCAATGTCATTTTTATTTTGACATTGTCGACATATAGAAATGTCATCAGATCAAGAAAATGTCACAATGACAATGGGATTGACGATGCTATAAAATGAGATTGTAATTATGACAATGTCAATAACTATTATGACAATGTTAATTTTATTAAAATTGTCGTAATATCAAATAATCAATCATTATTTGATTCAGTCATTATAAAATGGCAATGACAATGTCATAAGAATGACAAGGACAATGTTATAAGAATGTCAATCATTATGAAAATGACATTGTTAAAACTAATGCCAAAACTATAAAATATAATTTTTATGGAAAAATAACGTGTTATAATGTCATTATATCAGTCACTTTATGACAATTTCACTTCTAGCAACACTCATCTCTGGCTTTTGCATTCTAATGCAGTATAAGCTTCAGCAGGGAGTAAAGCTAGTAAAACAGAATATATGGACTATGGTGTTACTGGCATGACTAAAAATTTACAATTTCGGAAAGGAAAGTGAAAAAAATTAGAAACAAAACAAAATGGAATCACAAACAGCCAAAACCAAAAACAAGGCGGAAGAAAAGAAGAAAGTTAAAGAACAAGACGGATGAAAGTAGCAGATAGAAAAAAGAGCGCGGATAGAAGAAGACAAGAAGACGGGGAAAGAGAGAAGGAAGAGGAAGAGAGGAAAAAGAACAGATTTGCAATATCTTCACTGGCGCCGACGACACCTTCCTTGTTGTCCATTGTCTCTTTGCCGTCGATCTGATTATTTTCAAAGTGTGCAGCTTCTTCTCCTGTTCTTCTACGGTTGCTCCTATTCTTCTTCTGTTCACCTTCTGCAAAGAACATCTGTAGATGGGTGGTGTCACGGACTTATTCTGAAGACCCATGCGGCACTAGCACACTTCACCCAAACTATGCTAGTCAACCTAACTTCTAAGGACACCGATTGTGGAGAAACGTATACAATGCTTTATTGCTCTCAAGAATTCGATGATTAGATGGTTTGATGGATACAAATGAGCCAACCATGAGGGGTATTTATACTTGTCCCCCTCTTCAATGGACGGCTAAGATCTACTTGATCTAACGGCTACGATTTACTTCTATACAACTCTATAACATTCTAGAGTATTCTACTATACTTTATACAAGTGTATCTCTATCTACATGAGTCTAGAATATTCTCTAAGCCTCTAGAAATCTGCCCCTCTCTCTTGGGAACTTCTAGACTCCAGCTTGTCCTCTTGCCCGTATTATGTCGCGGCCTATTACTTGGCCATGCCGCGGCATAATTGCCTGCCATGCCGCAGCGTACTCGCCTGCTATGCCGCGGCATACTTTGAAATTTGGGAGAGTCGTCACAGTGGTGAAGGTGTAGCGAGTAATTCCGAGACCGTTCTCTAGAGTCTTGGGATGCAGGGTAATTTAGGGAGGCACGGGATATTTAGTCCGATTTAGGTATAAAGAAAAGTCAAGGTCCTATTTAAGTATATACATAAACTTAAGGTCCGGGACCATTTCTCTTGAAATAACTAAGGAAGAGGATAAAATTCCCCTTTAAATCAAATAAGCCAATAAAGCATGCTTGCTTCTCTATTTCCCAAGCGGAACTCAGGAAGTCTTTGTTCCAACATTCAAGTTAAACTTTCTCACCATAAATGTAAGGTAATCCTGGATTCAATCTCATCACTTTTGCATTATAACTCAACCGATTTTAGGACGAAGGAAGTACTTCGGATCCCTGAAAAACATTGATATTCTCTCGGCTTTATCAACTGAAAGGTCTGTGTTTTCCAGAATACACTCCTTTGATGCTTTGGCTATTGCTTCAATTGACCCGATCGCTTGCTTAAGCTGAAAAGGAAATGGAAACTAGTCAGTCCCCCCCTCTTATAAAGCAATTGTTTTATCATTGCTAGAGAGTGTGCTCTACATTCGTTAAATAAAGTTTAGATTAGGAATGGAGACGGCATTAATATAATGCAAGCCTTCTAGTTTGAGCTGGCGCATCCTAAATGCGTTCTTATTTAGTAATAATTAACCAAATCACCGATAAATTATAGAGCAAGATTACTGATCTCCCTTTGAAGTCAGAACATTCAAATATTGAAAAACATTCTTCCAGAACTTACTGTCATGGACTCGTTCTCTTACGGAAAGGTCGTGGCAATGTGGTCCATTCAAACTACATTTGACATAATAGAATGAATATATTTATTAATATAAGTTTACTTAGATCACAGATGAATGAAACACCAATTACCCATGCCGGAGCTTGTAGGGTATGTTTGGGTCTCATCTCAGGAAATACTGGAGAAAGGATAACAAATGCTAAGGAAAGTCTGCTTTTGTTTTTGTTTTACCTCATAATGCAAAGGAAAAGAAATATTGTTAATGTTCTTTTGCATGTGCATACCTTTATTACTTTACAAAAGTACATCAATCAATCAATAAATAAATACATAAGAAGAGCATGAGTATTTTTTTTAAAGAGCATGAACCAATGTTTTTCAAGTGATATTCTTCTTAGTCTCGCCTTTAGTTAAAACTTTGATATTATTTCCTTTCAATTTGCCTTCTATATTTACCTCCCCATATTCGTTCCCCAAAAAAATCCCAGTTTCAAGCGAAAAAGTGTTCAAGGGAAAAAATGCAGTGCAGGTTTTCACGGAAAGAGGAAGCACTAAACTGTCATAACAAAAACAGTTATTACTGAGCTATAGAATATGGAGGGCAATCAGACTATTCTAAACTCTATTAGACAAAGATGATGAATCAGATTCTTACTGCGTTTGCATCATGCTTGTCAATGCCTGGAATTGAAGTGACCACTCTGAGATAAGCATCCATTGATTGAACCGACTTTTCCTTCTAACGGTGTAACATAGCATCTTACATTACTCAAAAAAATGTAATTACTATCAACAATCAAAGAAAAGTTCAAGGTATAACCTCCGCTTTCATCATTTCTACAGCATGTTGCTTTTTGCACACTGCAAGTAGTAGCAGTTGGTTAAGATACGCTTAAAAGTTACAATTGACCAAAGGTCAACACTTGGGTCTTCTTACCCCCACGAGCATGTGCAATCTTCACAATTTTTTCCCACCCCATCTCTAAATCTCGTACTGGAATAAAAGTTGGCTTTCCAAGTTCCATATTGTACCTTAAAAAGTGTTAACAGATTTAAGATCACTAAGTCATTCATTATTACAATATGCACAATGCCAGTGACAATAAAACAGAATGGACTTACTTGAAGTAAGAGCAATTGAAACAATCATTTTGTTCTTTAGTTGGAAGGGTCACAACCACATAAAAGTTTGCAAATTGCTCTTTTAGCTTCTTTACTCTACTCAAAGTTAAACAAGATTAGCGAAAAATGCAAAACACTCACTGTGGAAAGGTAAAATAAAATTTACCTGCAAAAGAACGATTCTGTTTTCATACTGTCCCAATTTGTTAGAAAAATGAATGCAATAGACAAACCCCCACAGTTAATGATAATATCCTGTTAACAGCCATAATTTAGTACCAGTTGAAAGGAAGAAGTTAGAACAAGCATGGTGTGAAATGTGATATTTACCGGTGTTATTGGGACAAAATTCAGACGAAAAGAATTTTCATGTAAGAAGCTGGAAACAAAATTAAGAAATGATGGGTGTTGATCATCTCTCCAGCTGTTACTCATCATACATACCCCATTGCAACCTAAACAAGTAACTATTGCATGGTAAACTATCATATGATGATTTGACGAAATACTTCTAAAATAATAATACCAATTTATTACTCGAGACTCGGAAGACATTAAGGAGCTACATATGATCAGTTGAATATCATTAAAAGTTTCAGAAATAAGTAGGCAATATTGAAAAGTTTGGTGCAGCAGGTCTGCTTCAGAACAGAAATAAGGACAACATCTTATCCTTTTAGTAAGAAACAATCAGCTACTTAGAGATGAATACTGGTATGATGTGTACAAAGTGCTAGCACAAACATAAATCATAAAAGTAACAAAGCTAATCATATTACTATATTAGAATGAGAAATTACCAATCCCTTGTCCTACTGCATGAGGGAGTGTAGGGAGATACATATGAATAATAATATCCATAGGAATGTAGTGTCTTAGGCCGTTCATGAAAATACAATAATTAATCAATTAAGTTTCTTAGAAAAGAAAAGCAACTGAAAGTGAAAACGCACAACCTTGAAAAATCTGCTTATTTCATGTCACATTACGAAAACACTGAACACGGGTGTTGTTGATACTGAGAAGTGAGAAATGCAAATGCTTCACCTGTACTTGAGTTATGCCTTAAAATGTACAAATGATATTTTGAAATTCAACTACCATTTTCTTGATTCCGTGTTTACTAGTCAAACTGTGAACGTATTTGAAGTTGTAGATTCATCTACACATCATTTTCCATTGTCACATTTGAGAATTCAGAATGAAGAAGGCTTATTAATTTTACACAGAATCACAAAATCTATGTAAAAGTTACACGATGCCATTTCTGATCACTGTACTAATTGTACCGGAGTTCAAAGATTAAAGCCACCAAAATATCGATGTGCAGATTGAGCAACTGTGCTGGTTTCCACATATAAAAGCAGCAACACATCCAAATAAGTACATCTCATTTAGCGTTTAAAACGACTAGTTTCCGCATTACTAAGCGAACACAACCTCCACCGCATTTAAGAGCAGAACGCCTCTGAAATTTTGAATCGAGGAAGAAATGCAGACAAAAATGAAGAGTGCGACTGGGGAGTAGAGTTATAGAAATAGTGTACCACTAGCATTAGAGAGGCTAGAATGACTTGGAGATGGATGCTGGTAACCACTACTCATCATGCTATGCAAGTCCAATCTGCTGAAAACGGGTTAGCAGAGATTTCTATTTGGGGAGGCGACAGCGGCGGACGTACATTCTCAGATTCAAATGTCTAAAATAAAACTCAGCAAATCTCCCGCCTATTTCTGCCTTCCGGAGTTCTGGTCATCGGCTCCTACTCTCCCAGCTCCTCTCCAGTTTTTTGGCTCTTCATTTTCCTTTCTTCCGGTATTCTCTTGACTTTTGTAAATTAAGAAAGCAGATAAGAAATTTCAAAAGAAGAAAGTATAAGAAGTAACAAAAATTGAAAATAATAATCTTAATTATTGTGATTCTGCCGCTAATAATTCTAACTATCAATTATTTTTAGGTGATCCCAATTATAGGTACTACTTTTCAAAAATAGTCTCTAACCGGTTACAACCTGGTATAGCACATCATTTCTAAATGTGAATTGTATGTAATCTTTAAATAATACTCCGTATCAATTATAGTTGACATTTTCTTTTATTAATCTCAACTATCAACTCTCAATTTTTGAAAGATGTAAAATATTTTTATAAATTTCTAACTAAATATTTTTAAACATGTATAAACAACTACAAAAATTATACAAATGTATAATTTTTTTAGTCATTTTTCGATTTATTTTCACTAAAAGTTATTTATTTACTCTGTTTTCCAATTTATTTTTCCCAATTATATTATTTTATTTTGTAAAAAGTTGCTATAACAAAAAAAAATTGATGTATATTTTGAGACGAATGAAAAGGTAAAAAAGAAAAAAAAAACGACTGTTAAAAGTGTGATTTTTACCAAGCGATGACAAAAATTGAAACCAGTGTGAAAAAGTACACACTTCAATGAGTCGTTATATGGTGGGAGCAGCCACTGGCGGATCTTACAATCACAAGTTGGGTGCTAAAAAAAGTTTATGGTTAAAATATTGCACAATAATTGTTCGATCCCGCAATTGAAGAAATGTAATTTTTTCAACAACAAAAAACTAGCATAAAGTGTTAGGCGTAAAAAAATACTCCGTATTATATAAAAAATATAATATCTTTCTCCGTTCTATAATTCTTGCAACATTGTGATTTTTGCACTATTCACAGATCTTACTTTGACCATGATTTTTTTTTACTAATATACATAATCAAATTATTACGTATAAATTGTTATTGAACTCTTATCAATGTGAAATTCCAAAATATCAACTTTTTATAATGTTTACTAATACATAATTAAATATAATTACAGTCAAAATTGTGTATTGTCAAACGTGAAAGTCAAACTGTTGCAAGAATTATAGAACGGATGATAGTATAAATTCTTATATCAATTCTATACATGTAATTTTCATTTTGTTTTAAAACTTTTGGGTGTTCGCTTGAACACCCATGAACAAAGCATGTTCGCCCCTTTGTCATATATTTTTGGGAGCCATACATCGCTTTCTTAACCGCACATACCCGGGTATATGTTAGGGGACGAAATAATTCAAGAAATTAATTTGGAGTCCAGCCCAAAAGCAAATATATAATCAAGTGGCCTGATCCAACACTATGCCTAAATGGATAAGGATATGGAGGTTTGACTTGGCTAGTGTAAGGGAGTGGTAGAACTAGCTAACAAATTCCCTAATTCCATGGCATATTGGCGTAGGAGAGGGAAGTGCCTGGAAGTTAGGCACGTTACCTTCATTTTAGCAATTATAAGTATAAATAGAGAGCATTATTTCATAGGGGAGGTAGTCCACTATCAGTTATATAATATTGATATACGAAGCTTTTTACGATCATTCTTGATTAAATCTATCAGTTAAATCATTCTTGTATTCAGCAACAAAGTTCATAAGGATAATTTTAGCCTGCTATTTGTTTGATTATTATCTTGCTCGATCCCATCTTTTAATTTTTCATTGTTAGAAGAAATAATTATTTCTTGCTAAAACAATTTGGCGCCCATCGTGGGGCATCGTGCAAGAAAAAGATCAATTATGGAAGGAACGAAACAATTGTTGATTGAATTCCATGAGCAATTAGAGACAGTCAGGGAAGAAATCTGGCAAGAGATGGCGGAGAAGATGGCCCATCTTCAACGGGAGAACGACGTGCTTCGATCCCAGGTGCAGTCGGCGGTATCAATAGCTTCAAATTCAAGACTCCACCGGAGGAGTGACACTATGACTGTCGCAACAACGCTAAATCTCAGTTTCTGCCCAGCTGCGACAGATCCACCTGAAGCGTCGACGGATCCACCAGCAATGTCGACGGATCCAATCTCCCTCACGCTAGGCCAGTCGCCAACACCGAACGGAGAGCCATACTCGACGGTCATATCGCAGGTTATTCCTTACACGCCTCTTGTCCCAGCGGCTACTCCACCATCCAATATTCCGGCTTGCTTTTTCCCGGAATCCCTTCGGGTCAGATCAAACGGGTCCGGCCTATATTCGGTGACCCAGAGCATGCCTATGAAGACTCTGTCCTCTACCCCGACAGAACCTTCAATTCCTCATTACAGGAGCAGAACCTGTGGGGATCCCGGTCTGTCCAATTTCATGTCTTTGACGGGTAACTCAGTCTCGGCAGAACCGTCAACTCCTCACTATAGAAGTTGAACATGCAGGGATCCTGGTCCGTCAAGCTTCATGCAAGATGCCAGACGTAACGGGCCTAGTGTGTCATTTCTGGAGCCTCAGACGCAACGCTTTGGCAGACCCGTCACTACATCAGCGCCCGCGTTACCTGAACGACGCCCTGAGGTAATATTCATTCTGTCACCGACCCGACCTAAAGTCACCCAAATGGTCAGACCAACGACTTCGACTCCAGTACCAACTCACCCGGTCGTGGCAGATCAAATGTCCATGATGATGGAACAAATGTGTCAGATGCAAGATCAACGGATTGCCAGGGGTACCCCCCCACCCTTGGACGTCAAGGACATGTTACGCAGAGTCTCCATTTAGCAGACGGATTACCGAAGTCGGGATACCCAGAAAGTTCGTCGCCCCTTCCATGACAATGTTTGACGGTACGTCTGATCCGGGGGAACATGTTGCCCAATACAAGCAACATATGATGGCCATGTCACTTCATCCAGATCAAAGGGAAGCATGCATGTGCAGAGGATTTGGAGCGACACTTTCAGGACCAGCTCTAACCTGGTTCGTCAACTTGCCAAATGAGGCGATCAATTCATTTGCAGAACTCGTCGACTTGTTTAAACAACAATTCGCAAGTAGTCGCGTTCTGGAGAAACGAACAAGTGATCTATACAGAGTTGTTCAACGACGAGGCGAATCATTGAGGGACCATCTTCATCGTTTCAACAAGGAGAAGGTGTCGATCACAAGGTGCGACATTCCAACTGCAATTGAGGCATTCCGAGGAGGTTTGGTCGACGATTCAGAGCTGTACCGTGAACTGATGAAATACCATCTTCAATCCTTCGAAGATGTCCAAGCAAAGGCGTTTGCTTTCATCCGCCTAGAAGAAGACTTACGATCCCGTCTTGGACATGTTGAGCATGAATGGGGGCACGGGAAATCAGAATCTCCTAGGAGGCAGGATTACAAGTCTGGGAAACCTTATTCAAGACCCGAGGAACGAGTCGTCATGCCATGACGAGATGAACAAGACAAAGTGATTGATATCTCGGACGGGGGGGCACATCGTCCGATGATAGACAGATTCTAAAGAGTTGCAATACGGTACCCTTAAAGTTGTTTCATTTTTAGTTTGTTACTTTCTTTCGCACATTGCCATCAATTCCGTGACGAGTCACTTCTGTGACGGATCGCTTTCGTAACGAATCACTTTGATGACGAATCACTTTCTTGACGAGTCACTTCCGTGACGAATCATTTTTGTGACGAGTCACTTCGGCGACGAGTCACTTCGGCGACGAGTCACTTCGGCGACGAGTCACTTCCGTGACGAATCACCTGCATGACGAGTTATTTCCGCGACGAGTCACTTTCGTGATAAGTCACTTCGGTGACGAAACGATTGAAATCGTTAGACGGGGGGCATATCGTCCTACGGTAGACATGTTATGGCGATAACTTATCTAGATTGGTATACATATTCTTAATCTCTTATTTTCATTTATCTATAAATGATCACTAACTTAATCGTCGGAGGGCCGTTGGCTTAAGACCAACGACCGAACCTAATGACGTTTTGAATGCAGAAGACTGAACAAGGCGTCAGGTAAAGCGGAGCACCACCAGTAAGTTACTTTGATACTTCACATTTCTTTGTAAGTTTAGAAACCAACGACGTATCGAGTGCAACGAATCTGTCAAGGCGTCGTAATGAAAGTTGACAATGTCAACCTGTATGTCTCTTTGAAGCTTTGTCTTGTTTACTGACTTGATCCTGGGCAGAACATTGACTTTAATCTCAAACAACTTGTCTCATTATTTATATTGAATTTAATAAGCTATTGATTCAAAAAAAAAAAAAAAAGCTCTTGATTCATTTAAAAAGTGTTCTATAGCTATCTTGTTTAAGAAAGTTGTGACGTGCTGAGTGTAAAGTTTATATCTCTTCCTAAAGATTGGTTTATCACTTTACTGACTTAACCATCGCAGGGCCGTTGGCCCAAAGCCAACGGCCAACTTTGACGGTTTGTAATGAGTGCAGGACTATCTTAAGACAAGCAATTGTGGGGCAATTCGCGAAGGCTGGAAAGCGTCAATCACACTAGTATTAGTTGGGCACTGTACACAGACATCAAAATGGGAAACGGCTGGGCAGCCCATGAGAATATCTCATGGATCATAGTCCCAGCTGACCCTTGCGACATATATACTTTGGCCAAAACCTACACACGTATATGACGACGCACGTGCAACCAAAACATATATGATAACACACGTGCAACCAAAACATATATGACAACATGCGTACAACAAAAAATACAGAACTACACAACAGAAACACATGCTCCAACATAAGGAGATAGTGCAAACGACAAACGTAACGCTATTTAAAGTTTTTGCAGGATATGGACCAAGTTTGCACAACCCATCTCGTCATCTTCAACGACATATGATGTTCCCTCTGTCAACTGAAGTGTCGACATCAACCTAGACGAAGTTTCATCTCGTCAGCACTGACTAGTTATGATTCATTAGCACAATTTGGAGAAAGAGGATATGAGATCAGCCTTCGTTCTACGTCGCTTCAGTCAAAGAGACGGATTCGA